AATGGTACGCACCGTTTATGTGAATGTCGTATACCTATAATCAGAAACGCAACTCTAGTCCTTGAAGCACATTTTTCCTGCACCTGTAGTACGATACGATAATACCAACGTGCAACAGACAGTAAACCAAATCACAGTGCATTCTGACTCAGCTACGTTCAGGAACATGTACGGACATAAACCAACATTGAAAGTAAGGACAGGAAATTCTGCATCAAAGCGAATCAGGTACTAACTCTTTTTATTATAACTACAGAAACAATTCATTTACTTATTCAAAAGAATCAATTGTTTATATGCTTTCTGACAGTATCAAAATATGGCTTATTTCCATATGGCACAATGTAACAGTTCACTCGATTAACAGCCATACATTATGTTTTTACTCATATTTCGCAGAAAACGTGTTACACTTCTTCAGCTGTAGTTCACCGCAATGTTTGCTGCCTATGAATCTGAAAGAGTATGCTAACCGTGAGATAATGTCTACAAAATCCATGGAACTATGATACCCTGAATAAGATCAATGTGAGAAAGTTTAACTACTGTGATAATAATCTTGATTCGGTTATATGGAATAAACCGTCTGTGATACATGATTTCCGCTCTATCCTCAACTTTCCAACAGTTTTGCTATAAGACACCAATAACATCGTTGGACAAAGAACAATTTCTCTACAACGGTAGATCTGCCTTCATCCTGGTGATATACGCTCAATATTCAAGAGGGCAGCTAGACTATGTGTCAGACAGTTGAAAGATCGTTGGCTCCAGTCTTCGTCAAGTCACAGGCTTTTCATTTTCTTCAGGTACATAAATGAGACCATTCCATGGAAAAGAACCAGGTGACTGTCTCCTAGGGTGGTCACCCTGCTGCAATATAGCCTTAAGCAATGAAAAATAAGCCAAAACGCCATAGAAAACTGAAACTTCAATCTAAACCTGCGAAAAATACCACTTGTCACAACGCTGACTTCTGCCACAAGAACCATCGCAACAGCAATGGATGCTACAGCACGGATTTTGCTTATCCAAACGAATGGACAATGCTATAACAAAGGAGCGCGAACTTCAATTATGAAAAAATGTAAATAAGCCTTGGTCAGCGATTCGAAAACTCGATAGCAAGGGATCTGACAAAAATCAGACCAGCCGATTCCTGGAAGATAAACATTCAGTGTGAAATGACAAATGTAATATATATGCGCGCATCAGCAAATCTAAATATGCTTACAAGGGATTTGAATAATTCAATCATCTCAAGACAGTCAAAACAGTCCTGTGAGCACTGCGCTGCACTGTATGAAAAAAACTTACATTCAGTAAAACACTTCGTGACGCGTGAGCTACAAAACGTTCTACAAGAACAGGTTTGAGGTCAGAAACAATAACTACTCGGCAAATTTCATTTAAAAAAGGAGAAAACTCCATATTTCCTCTAGAAACTACATTTAATTATGGCATTCATGTATAAACTGCCATAAATGTTTCATCCATAACGCTTGTCGACGAAGAGGATATTGAAATATGGCCATCAAAATGTGCAAAATGAATTTCGAGAGCTCAAAATAACTTGCGCATATAACATGCTTTCAATGTTTTGAAGCCTTGCACTGCCAACAGAATGGTCAATATTTAAAAATCCTCCCAATATTCTGGGCTGGATGGCTAACGCTGGTTACGAGACCGCAGGCTCAAATAACAATGACTTGTCAATTCTCTACAATTACAAGATGTAATGACCCCGTAACCTTCATAACCTTGCTTCTACCGGGATAAGAGCCCTTAAGCAGGCCAGAGACCCAAGATATTATCGCAGTGCAACGCATCATTGTAAAATTTCAACGCTGTTGGGTAAAACAACATCCTGTTCGAACACTAACTACAATTCCTTTGCTAACGGTCTACTAGCAAATTGTTAGATTTCAATAACGCCCGTAAGAATTACAGTCTCCTGTCATTTCACACGTTAATACGGCATAGTTGCATCATCTCCTTGCTTCTACATGCCTAGGGCCACTTAAGCAGACCATGGCTCCATGATCCTTTGCTTTACACGTGCAAAGCCATAAAACAGTGCCACTTCGTTGGATCGAACATCAAAAAACCAGTCGATCCGCAGACATACATCCGCGTGTCGAGTGAATCCGGAGAAGGGACAAATAGTCGTTCACCGGCGGTATCGAAAACTAGCAATTTGCTGGAGAACCCGTAATACGGGGGCAACTATTTTTACAACTGCTTTACGCACCAATTTATTCGTAACCTTAAAGAAGGAAAATAATTCCATTTATAGGAATATTTAGCTCGAAACTCGATAATAACCTTACGGAATTATACCGCATATAAAATTTATTATATACAAGGTTCTCCAACGTTTTGGATCATGTTCAAATCGTCTTCAGGTTACGATATATTACAGATACGATGTTATAATATACGTAAATGCATTTGGGTATCATAATCAGTGGTATTCATAACCAAAATACCGTTAGTATCCTGATCCGCGTTAACTGGTGGTATGAGACGACATTACTAGAGCAGACAAATATCGATATGAATCCGTAAAGAAAACGATTTAAATTCAGTGCAAATTACTGAAAGCTACGTAAGATGAGATGAGATAAGATGAGATTCGAAACGATGGTCGGTTTAATAGCACAGCAGCTACAGTGAAAAAAATAGTAATAAGTAGAATGAAAGACAAGCAGGCTTCATAAGGACGTTGCTAAAGCTCACTCGCTGCATGAAACAATATGCCATCAAGAGAGACGTA